TCCTTGCGCTTGTGCAGCAGGCGGCGAAACCACTGAGCTAAATCCCCGGCCCCTATCTTCTATGATTTTTTTAAAGGTATTAAACAATTTTATTACATGAACTTGTCTGTTTGGCACATTAAATTATGCAAAGAAAAAACATATAACCATATAAAAAGAATTACATCCCCCTACTGTAGACAGGTAAGCTAGTTAGAAAATATCGTTAGGGAAGGCCAGGCCCTGAGCACAGAAGACACCTGTGGCCTGAGGCTCATTCACTGAAAGCCAGGCTTTAAGAAAAAGAAGAACAACTACATCCACATACTTCCTCTAGGGATGGACAGCAATGATTCATATTCTAGACAGGCATGGATCACCTGGGGTGGGGACCAAAACCTCCCTAGTTCAACAGGAAATCCCTGTTCGGTCCATGTATGCTTGATATGTGACTTTTTCCCTATTTGACCCCCATTTAATCAATATTACCTAAGTGATTACACATGTTACAATCTTATTGGTTTATCATAGTTTTGTCCCACCTTGTGATTTCCCATTGGATCAATATTACCTAAGGGACTGTACTTGTAATCTTATTAGTTGCCTATAGTTTTGTCCAACCTTGTACCACCTCACCTCGTGGCTTTGTTCAATAAAACACCTTTGAGAAGTGTGATGGACAGGCAACACACTTTCTGGGTGTCCCCTCCTGTCCTTCTCAGGCAGGAGCTGTCTTTCCCTCAATAAATATTTCCTACTTTTAGCCTCTGTTGTTCCCAGAATTCATTCTATGAATTTAGAGAATATGAACTTGAAGTTTTAGATATCTAGCAGGTTGGGAGTTATAATATTTCCTTTATTTGGATTATTTCCATTTAGATCATTTGGAGGTCCTACATCATACGCCCTGTATCAATTCAATTTGAATACCTAGCAGAGGTAAAAAATAATGAATTGTAGAATGGACCCCAGGATTTAATCCAAAAAACCCCACTCTGTACAGAAAACTTTCTGGCTTCTAACTTCATGGAATCCAACACTCAAAGTGCTTCTTTATATTCCTCAGCTTCTCCAATTCCTTTTTACTCTGAAATATCTGCTAAAGATCAGTATATGCAGCCTCTAACCTGTGCTAGCAATCTGGGATCATCATCAAGGACTCTTGGAGTATCTCTCCCTGATTTTATTATTTTTATTTATTTATTTATTTATTTTTTGCAGTACCAGGGATTAAACTCAGGACCTTGCAATTATGAGGCAGGCACGATGCCACTGAGCTAAATACCCATATTTTCATTATTTTTTGAGACAGAGTCACTCACTTTGTAGTGCAGGCTGGCTTTGAACTCACTATGTAGCCCAGGTGGCCTCGAACTCATGGCAATCTTCCAGCCTCAGGCTCCCAGCAGCTGAGCTTACAGACAGATGTGTGCCACCAAGCCCAGCTTTCCCTGCTTTTAGTACCATCTTGTCTGCATGTTTTCAATCTTTTTCTTGTTTTGCTTCTTTTTAATACTTCACTTTTTCTTTGACCACTTGTCTCACCATGCTGGTCTTGATCTCCCATCTGGTGAAAGATGGGCCATGATCCCGGAAGCCCCACAGGAAGGAGGGGCAGAGAGCAGGAGTGGCCTTGGAGGGCAAGAGCAAGGCATAGGTGTGTGGGTGGGGGGTTGCACGTCTGTGATTCTTGCTGTCTGGCATCTGTCCTGTTCTATAGGAATGATCAAGTAACTATCCTATTTTGGAATTTCCAAGGCAGTGTTTAGAGTTTGACTAGTTTATAAGTAAAGTGCAACATCTATAATCTGGGAAGCAACTAAGTAACTATCCTTAAGAAGAGTCATAAGTTACTTAAAGACATAGTCTGAAAAATACATTCTTATGTGATTTCATTGTGTGAACATCAATATACACACTAAAAGGGCCACAGTGTTACTAGATAATGTAATCTTCTTCTTTTTTTTTTTT